TAGAGAGGTGAGCAGAGTAAGCCTGATTCCCTGTAAGGACTTCTCTGTTGACATCCACCCCTTGGCGCTCATATGACCGTATGCAGTTGCGAGCGCCGTATATACATGTAGGCCTATGTAGATCTATATATATATATATAGTAACGTTCGTTATTTGACATATTGGCCCAACAGCACTCAAAGAGCATACCAATCGTCAAACAGCAACCTTCCGACAACCTTCAAGTAAGCGCTACTTTCCCTCAGTAACAATAGACAGCTTCAACGCCGACGCACCCACATAAACTTTCCCAATTCACACAATTGTGTCGTAATAACATACAAAATAATTTCTATGTATGGTGCAAACCTGCGGACACAAAGATGACACAGGTCAGTAATCACAACTGCATCGTCAGCCTTTTGGATAAAGCAACAGTTGCCAAGCACATTATGGTTTACATTTAGTTCAACGTTCACTCAAAGTTTATATATTATATAGTTGCTTGTTCTAATCATAACTTTACCTGTCTGGTACGCGTGTTCACATCTATGGATTTCAAGCTTTAGGGCATTCGATATAATATTAATATTGTAATAGCAATCTTTTTCTGGGTTTAAAAAAAATCTACTCTAATCAAATATCTGGCGCTCTCGTATTTAGATTGCGATGATAGAAATGACAATAAGACAAGATTTTGTACATGTGGAGTGTTTCTGGTGTGGACATTTCGTTGACTTGACATTTCATCATGGCACACAGCGTACACATACCTTCTCCAACATTGGACAAAGCCATCTCTCTCTTTCCCCTCTCTCTCATCTCTCTCTCTATCTCTCTCTCTCTCTCTCTCTCTCTCTCTCTCTCTCTCTCTCACATAAACGTTAAACACACACACATACACACACACACACACACACACACACACATACGCACGCGCACGCGCGCGCACACACACATACACACACACTCATACATTTACATACACGGGCGCACACGCATGAGTAGTCATTGGATGGACAAACTCACTACTTGGACAAAAACCTTTTGTGTTACCGTTAACAAAGAAAAGTCTTCTGCTACACTCTTCACTCTCAGCCAGGCTGAGCCAACAAACCTAGCTTTGGACAAAACCCCCCTAAAGTTTGAGAATCGACAGATGTATCTTGGAATAATCTTTGACAAGCGTCTCACATAGAAACAACACTTTCAAAATACAAAAACTAAAGCCAGGAAGAAGCTTAGCATCATGAAAAAACTTGCAGGGACTCAGTGAGGAGCAAATTAGAAAACACTTGGACAGGTCTATCTGGGCGCAATCAGGCCCCATCTCGAGTACGGATCCAGTGCATGGATGACTGCAGCAGACTAACAAATACACTCTGGAAAAAGTGCAAAAAACCAGGCTCTCCGAATAATCACTGGAGCAATGAGGCCAACGCCTATAGAAAAGATGGAACAAGCAACATCTATAATGGCCCTGCAGAGGAGATGGGAGTGCAAGGCCCTCATACAGTACACCAAGGTCACAGCTATGGAGGATCATATAATGCACACAAGAACAGCCAGATCAAACACCACAAGACTTAAAAGATCCAACTTCATCAAAGAAAGCAGAAAAATCTAGAGATCCCTACAGGACCATTTACCAGGCACAGTGAACATGCTGAATCATACCCCAGAGGCACCATCATGGGAAAAGAAAAACACAAACATAATTATACACACGTCCATTCCTATGTTCACCACAAAAGATGACCACAGCGACCTGAGCAAGAAATCCCTCACCCTGTCCTTGCTTGAAGAAAGATACCCCCGAGCAGCATGAATAAGGATCTATACGGACGGATCTATACGGACGGATCTGCCACTGATGCTGTGAAAAGAGGAGGAGCTGGAGCATGGCCTTCGTTATAACACGAGTATCACGAAGGCCATGGCTGGAGTGTACGTACAGTTCCCAAATGGACGACGACAAGCAGAGGCAGTCCCAACAGGGCGACAGTGTACAAACTACAGGGCAGAGACGGAGGCTCTAATACATGCAGCAAACATCGTCAAGAATGTGGTAGACTCCCAAAGCCAAGTAGTATTCCTAACTGATGCCATGTCAGTACTGCAGGCAATCACTGCCGGCAAAGTACCAAGGCTACGAGAAGTAATTGAGGGCATCCCATATCTGAGGATCATGCCTCAGTGGATTCCATCACACTGTGGTGTCTTAGGAAATAAGCAGGCAGACAGGATGGCCAAACTAGGAGCAACCAGACAACAGCATCAACTACACAGAAATAAAAACTACTATAAATACACTATTTAAAGCACCACAGACACCAGATAGCTACCACGAGCTGTCCCGCCAAGAACAAGTGATTATCTCCCGACTAAGAACACAGCACACAAGACTGAGAAAACATATGTACAAATGTTATAAACTAGTACAATCACCAAAATGCCAGTGTGGAGAAGCAAACCAAACTGTTGAACACATCCTTCAGCACTGCAAGACACACAGGGCCCTGAGACAGGAAACGTGGCCAACCCCACTGACACTACAAGAGAAGCTATACGGGCCGACAGATGAACTGAGCAGGACGGCCCAATTTATGTCAGATACCAGACTCAAGTGTGATGCGATCGAGAAGAAGAAAGGAGTCATTGGACGGACATACGACACGTTCATATCCACAGATAGTGTGTGGGTATGTAGGAATAATCTATGCATTCCAGCAGATAGACAGAGATTCAGAACAAAATTACTTTTCTGTGCGAGATTCGAACTTAGGCCCTCATTTCCCCCCAACCGTGAAGAGCTTGACTCTGTGTCGTTCTTCTACTGTTGTGTTCTGATTCTAAACAACAAACAACTTAGCTCCTCACTACATGTATTGGAAGATACACTTTGAA